CCAGGGCTCTCAAAAGGCCAAGGGTCAAAATCCCGTACCCCCAGTGAACATCCCAATCCAACCACTAAAATAGGTTCTAAAATGGGTGGTGAATTCACCTACCAACCAAAATGGGATCCCAAAACGGTTTTGACCACCACGGCCAGAATGCTTCAAAAGAACACGGTCTCAATTCCGGACTGCGCCCAAATCTCGGGGTCTCAATTCCCAGGATGCGTATTCCCGTGTGCTACAAGACCCCTCAGAAACGTTCAACTCAACTTGGGCTAAGCTGCTCGAGGCTAAGTCACCCCCTTTGGTGGGGTTTAACAAGGGAAGCCAACAGGAAAGCCCCACCATTCTGGGGGCCGTATCTGGCAAATCGTGATACATCAAACCATTCCGGACGGTACCCAAGAACCGGGCGGTTGCTCACTCGAGTTCATGGACTTCAAACCTTTTGGAAAGACCATTCTTGGCGGGCCCCAGCCATCCCCTTAGTTGTTTAGCCCTTTAGTGTTTTGAAGGGTTCAACTCAACCACCCAAGGCGTCCCCCAACGACTTTCGCATCTCCACGTCCTTTTACCACCCGAGGGGCCGAAACCGCCAGCCAGGCATCCCAAACCGAAGGCCTCGAGCGGTTCTTACCCAAAAAAAAATGGTGTGCTCGGTCTAAAACCTGACCGTACGATCAAGTCAGATCCAAAAATGTCCTCAAAACGTCGCCTTGTGGTTTCTCCCTTCCCCCAAAAGGGGTGCTCCTTGTGGTCTCCCTTTTCCCAAAGCGGTGGTTCTCCTTTTACCCAAAGGGGCGGTCAAACCCGGAATCGCCTGGGCGAAAAGCCCTAACAAAGTTGTTCTGGAGTCTCCTTGACCCCTGGAAAATGGAGTCACGGCCCACACCAAAAAAAAACTGCACATTGCCCCATGTTTCAGAGCTCTTAGACATTCTAACCTCAAAGGGCCCCTTTTTTGGTTGGTGGTTGGAAGGGAAACAACCCCCGCCCCAAAGCTTCCGTAAAAGGCTTTTGGGCTACACGTAGACAAGTGGCCGCACTTTTGGGGTGAACTGTTCAACGGTCAAACTGAGCACATTCAAGTCAGAACCTCCAAAAATCTCCTCAAAACGGTAAATTGAACAGAAATTACCGAGACTCAAGGGTAAGAAAATCTGCGAGCCTCCGAATACGCAACCACTTTGACACAGTCAAAAAGGCAAATCAAAGCGAACCGAGCGCGGGAAAAGGAACGCACGCCTGCTCAGCCATGGCGCGAGAGCTCTGGTCCGAGTCCCAGCATAGGACCCGTTGCCAAGCGTTTATGTGCTCGTTTACATGTCCTCTTGGAGCGGGAAAACGATGATTCCTTTGTACTTGCATTTGTCAAGTGGAGCGCCACCATGGTAAATTCATTTCATCTCGCCTTGTCCGCTCAAAACGTAGGATACACAAATCTGGGCTCCATAAGGTTTTGCTTTCATCACATGTCCTTTGTAAATCATCTGGTCCTGAAGTCCCGGCAGCGAAGCTCCGCGTAAGCTTTCTTGTGTTGGGGCCAGCTCCTGTTCCAGGATCTCGGCGCATCCAAGTCACAGCCAAAAACATGATCTAAATACTTGTTTTCAACTGTGTGCAACTCTCCAGGCACAGCAGCGGACTGCGCGGCTCTGCAGGCTGGAGGCTTCGATGCCAGGCAGGACGCTGCGCAACAGCTTTTCAGGAAAGTGGGGCTCCTTCGCACGGCAGCAGCAGCCACTGCCGAGCTGCGTGCGTCGGCTGCAGCAGCCACCGTCCAACGTAACCGTGCGGCGCCAGGACGCACTGGCCTATCTACGAGCACTGCCCCGCCCAGCACCCCAGCAGACCTGTATTTACGCGGACCTTCCCGACATCTTCCCCGGCCGCACCATGAATTACTACGGCACGAGGGGGCAGGGCCACGACCTGGCCTTCCACTCGGAGCTCCGAGACGCACTTTTTGCGAGCGGCCTGCCCTTCGTCGTGAGCGTCAACGACGTGCCGGAGGCCCGAAAGCTCTACAGCAGGGCCGACTCCATCACAAGCCTGAGCTCGGGCAAGAACAGTTCCAAGCCCGAGCTGCTGGTGCTGCACCGGGGCAATCCTGTTGCCAGCGCAGGATTGACGGGGGCAATCCTGTTGCCAGCGCAGGATTGACGGGGGCAATCCTGTTGCCAGCGCAGGATTGACGGAGAGATTTGGAGCACGTGTTAGTTTCTGACACATATGTGGCACGCACAGGCATGGTGCGCATGAATTCCTGCGCGTGATTCCACGCAGCTGCATGTTGCACCACAAAAAAATCGACAAGAACACAGCTCACAACTCATTATTCTTGCATGCCTGCTGTAACATTGAAATTAAAAAATATGATCGATCGATATACATGCGTGCACGTGATCATGCTGAAAACATTGCTTAAAAAACATTGCTTATTTAAGCATTTTGACATTTTTATATATCAACACGATTTAAGCAATGATTGCTTATTTAAGCGGCACAATGCTTAATTAAGACCGCAAAAGTCCTTAATTAAGCAATGTTACCATGAAACAATGCTTATTTAAGCGAAAAGTGTTTAAATAAACAATGTTTTCCAACGAACATCGATGATTTAAGCATGGTTCTGTTAAATAAACACTTTTGGAAGATTTGGGTACCATTAACAACACGGGCGATCACAAGGCAGCCGGGGTTCCTCTGGTTCGTTCAGGGACAGCCGGTCCAGCGTGGCAAACTTGTTGCCCAGGTCTGTCGTGACCACAAAGTTCCCGTCGTCCCCCGTAGCCGGCGGCTGTGAGGCAGCTGGACGACTTCCTGGGGCCTCCGAGGCCCAGGACTCTCGACTAGTCTCCTTTGAAAATGATTTTTTTTGGGCACGACCCGGCCTCCCTGCGTTGGGGGTCGGACCCGTTTTGGCACAAAAAAAACTTTGATCACACTCAAGTTGGAATTGCCTGAAATTCCCGGAGCCTGCTCACCTCCTTGGGTTTGGGGTGCTCGGGAATTGGGCGAACCAATCAAATGAGCGGGGCTGGCACGGGCAACCCGTGCAAACTTCTAGTGTCTATATTGATATAGGCACTGGAAGAATAGCATTTTTTCAGCGCAAAACCGTGCAAAACAAGCTGCCCCGTCCGTACATCTATGTACGGACGGGACTAAAAGCATTTTGTGGCGCAAAACCGTGCAAATGTCCTCCACTTCCTCCCAGCTCCATGCTGCTATATGGACGCCAAGCCGCTAAACCTCCACTCTCCCCCGGGTCCTTGCAAAATGTGCTATATGTGCTATATGGGTCTCACAAGGCAAGCCGCTAAACCTCCACTCTCCAGCTCCATGCTATATGTGCTATATGTGCTATATTATTCTGTACGCGCTTTAAAATATACTATATGTGCAATGCATATTTGGTACATGTTGGAGATGCTATGTGTATAGTATGCAGGCTTCTATACCATATAGAGCTGGCCGACCACTACCTCACCTGGAGACGCCGAACTCGGCCCGTCAGCATGACCCGGCGGGAGGAGCTGGAGCACAGGGCCGCCACTCACTGCAGGGAGTGCCTCGCGTCCTTCGAGACCGCCGAGAAGAAACTCCACCACTGCCACGGCACCGGGCAGTATCTCGGGGCGCTGCCCGAGGGCGCGTGCACTGGCGCACGGCTGGCCGCCTGGCAGCTCCAACTTTGCCACCGCCACCTATAGCGAGACCACAAACAGTCTGAGCGTTGCCTATGACGGCAACCGGCTCATCCTGAACGACCTGGAGCTGCGCCAGCAATTCCCTGATGCCGCGGACTACCCCGCCCCACACTTGGAAGTTCACTGGGATCAAGAGCGCCTGGGAAAAGCTTTTTGCCTGCGTATTGGCGTCTCCAGCTTTATGTAGGCTGTCCTGTTTCGTTTTCGGGCGTGTGGATGAGTTGAGGACCATTATGCCTACACTGGGGCCTGGCGAGTTTGCAAAGAGCCAGGACTGTTTTTGAGTTGGACTGTGTGCGCTGGTAGCCTGGCTTGGTTGTATCTGCAGTACACCTTCTGGACCTACGCCTTCCCTCAGCTTTGCGAAGAGGACGAAGATACGATTCACGATGAGTGCATGATCCTAGCTGACGACTTTCTGCAAGTGCAAAGCCGCTCGAGCAAGTAACTCTCACAAACTGGTCGGCTGACGCAAAACGAGAAAAAGCACTCACCTACGCACGCTTACAAGAATTGTGTTTCTCTTGTTTGCGCGAAACTTGTGCGACCCTTGTTCTGCCAGGTACCTCTTCTGGTGGTGCCACACCCGCCTCAAAGAATGACCAGCTAGGCACGCTTGCCCAATGATTCGCTTGGGTGCCTCGCAAATTGCGGTTGGCCGGGTTCTCTAGGTACAGATGCACAATGTGTTCCGCCTACACCGAACAGCACCTGTGCAGATTGCGTTTCTCGCAGGTACGGATGCCGTGCAGAAGAATAGCCAATCAGGTGCGCCCGGCCATCTGCCTGGAACTCAAGCCTCCCGATTTTTTGTGAACAAAAGCCATGTTTTTATCCATGAGCACGTTTGTTTGGACCTTCGGGAAACTTTTTGCGAATCCTTGCGCACGTACGCATGTGCCATGTGTCAGCACCTTGTTTGCGCAGTGACATTTTTGGCTGCCGGGGCTGGTAGCGTTAGCCTACTGCTCCCAGCTCTCAGCATGGGGCTGTTGCACTTTGTCTTGTTCGCGGCACTGTCAGGGCCTCAATTCAAGAACTGACTGTTTGGGTTGTTTCAAGCGTGCCGTATCACACGCGTTGTGTGTGTGTGGGGGTTTTGCTGAAAGGGGAATAGGCTTGCAACAGTCCACTTTAAAGGTGAGGGTCCGTTTGTCGAAGTGTCCAGATTGAGCTCACTTGCTCACTTGCCATCACGTTGGATTTGGAGCTGCTTGCTAGCCCTGTCGCGCAAGCGTCGCGCATCCTTGTGAAGTCCATGGTTGAAGCTGGAGTTCCTTTGATTGCCGTTTTGGCATGCCTCCTAGTGACCGCGTCTCAGTGAGTTTCAGCGTGGAGGCGTGCGCGGATGGTTTGCCACGAGGTGCTGGAACACGGAAATGCCTTGCTCGCCGCGCTATGACTGCATAGATTTGTTCTCGGGCGCCGAAGCGGTGAAGGCCTGGACCATTCAACTCTGGAACGTTTTGCTGCCCTGCACTGGCTAAGTTCGGCCTGGTGGAGCGCGGAATGCGGACTGCCAGCATCGACATTGAGCAGCACCCATCCATGAACATCTTGTCTGCTGCGGGCATGGCGTTCGGGCCTGATGCGTTTTCCTGCTTGCGCGCAAAGCCTTGCCATGAGGCTTGTCCTACATTCGGTCTTGTGCATGGACTCATCAGGACCAAGGCGTCGTGCGGTTGAGTTATTTTGCATGTGGCAGTGCTAGTGTCACAGTGCAAGGTTTTTGATGGCTGCGCCATTGTGCAGCAGCTGGGTGTGGCTTTCGCGCCATACTAGCCAACGCAGTGTGCTTCTCAGCAATTTCAAATTGCGCGAAGTGCCAGAAGTTTAAACTTGTTGTCGGTGCTTGAGGCCGAGAGTGCCCACTTGGAAGGAACCCTGACCTGCCAGCAGTGGCAGACGCCAACATCATGACATCTCGGCCCGCCTCTCAGAAAGCCTTGGATGTCCTACAGTCCTACACAGCAGATGTTCACATCTTGCTTTGAGGACCTTTCTGGCGATAGCTTTAGTGCTTTGGCACAAGGGCACTTTTTTCCTGGAGCAGCCATGCTCGAGCTTGATGCGGTACCACCCAAGAGCTGCCTACGTGAAGAGCTTGTGCCTGGGAAAGGTGTTTGAAATAAACCAATTCCTTGGATCCTGGGGGCACTGGTGCCCAAAGCTGTGCACATTCTTCAGTAACAGGCGTGGCCCGCGCTTTTGCGCTGCAGCCAAAACCGGAACGTTTCCCCCTACAACTGCCTTGCAGGATCTATGAAGGCGGAGTGTCAGGAGCGAGCCGAAAATCTTCAAAAAGGCCGTACAACAGTTCGACATGCTGACGGAAGAGTTCAGGGGTCTGCTAGCTTACGGTCCTCGCAGCGCCTTGCCCCCTTTAACCCGCGTTCCAACATGAACTCAGAAGTTTGCTTTGAACTTTTTGGAGCACGAAACGGAGCAGCAGTTGTTTTTTGATGCGCGCCGAGGGCCTATCCCCGAGATTTTGGGCGCCAAGTTGCAGACTTGATTGCCAATCATCCGAACCTTGATCCGGCGCCCGTCTCCTCGCTGGAGCCCATGACTGCGATACCAGATGCATTTGGAGGGCTGCTAGGTGAGCACCTGTCAGCTAGCTAGGAGCTTCAGTTGGAGTGAGTGAGCAAGAAGCGATTTGAGGTTCGAATATTTTTACACGGATGGAAAGATCTCTATGGGCGACACGTGGGAGGATGCGCCCCCCCTTTGCAAACCAACTTGCTTTTCGCATGCCTTTGCGTGTTCCAGGCAAACCTCTGGTCTGTGATCGCGTACCTGGCAAAGTCACGGCATCTACGGGTGCCGGGTCCTCGTTGGAGGACTTACCGGCTCACGCAGAGGTTGATCATTTGCTTGCCGCGTTGCAGGAAGTTGTTGGCTGAGCTGGGATTTTCACGCAGCAGTGCGCGCTAGGCGCACGTGTTGCTCGTAAAATTCGTGAACAATGCCAATTTGGCCGGGGGAGGCTGCTTCAAAGATCTTGGTAGGACAAAGTCATTGATGAATCCAGACGGCTGGGTCGACTGCCCATGATTGAGCGCCCGGTCAGAACATGTCAGAAACTTGATGGCAGAAACTTGACAGTTTTACGCGAAACATTCCATTGCTATAGAATGTTGCAGTTACTCAGTCCATGCGCTCATCACGTTTGCGTACATGGACCAATTCCCTCATTCCATTGCAAGAAACAGAATGTTGGAATTTGGATGTTTGCAGCTCATGGCTCTTTTGGTGAACAATTCCAACATCCCATTGCAAGCAATAGAATGTTGGAATAGAAGTTGGAGCTCCTCAGTTTTGCGTGTTCATCTTACAAACGATTCCAACATGCCTTCGCGAGCAATAGACTGGTTTAATTTTGGAATAGGGTTGGAATTGCCAAACGTTTGCATGCTCGCCCAATTTGGTGAACAAGTCCAACATTCCATTGCAAACAACAGAATGTTGGAATAGTGTGCTGGAATTCCATGTGTTTGCGCGCTCGTGACTCGCATCATATGGTTTAGCATTTGTGCGAGCAGTAGGGTGTTGGATCCGTCCACACAGTTTGGGAGTCGTCCGCCAGGGCCGAGGGGGGGGGGCGTTCGGAGGGGGAAGACCTGTTGGACTTAGCGTTGACCTTCGCGAAAGTTCCGCGCAGAGGGCCGCGAAAGGTAATTTGTCTCGCGAAGTTTTTGCGCAAGGGTGACAGGAAGCTGGAACGACGAGCCACGTGTGTTTGCTGGCAGCACGCGCTGCCGCGAGAATACGTCGCTACAGAAGCAACCCCCAGCAGAAACCAGCTTGTGGAAGTTTTGAAATTTTCGGGTCAAGTTGAGTCAGCTTTCCAGCCGGATTTTTGCGAATGTTTGGCGCAGGGTCCGCGAAAGTTTTGCGAAAACCGATGGAACTTTATGCCTGTTTCCGGACATACATGTATCCCTCCGCGCGCTGCTGCGCGCCTTGTACAGCTGAAGGTTGCGGCTTTTGAGCTGGGCCTCCGGACGTTTACTTCACGCGCTACGAACATATTGAAAAGTTGCGACTTTCGCGGCGGGGCTGCGGAAGTGATTGTTGCTTATACTGCTTTCGTGTGGCGTCTCAAGAAGGGGCTGCGGAAGCTTACTTTGTGTACTACTTTCGCGTTGAAAAGTTGCGGCTTTCGAGCTGGGGCTGCGGATATACTTATTACTTTCGTATGAAAAAGTTTCGCCTTTCAAGCCGGGGCTGCGCAAGCTGTCCTTCGTGCGCTACGTGCTGAAAAGTTACGGCTTTCGAGCCGGGGCTGCGGAAGTTACTGATGAACGTTGCGAAAACAGCCCCGCGAAAGTTCTGCGACGGGGCTCGCGAAAGCCGGAAGTATGTTTTAAATTGGGAGCAAGGAATTTCAGACAACCGTCACAAACAGTTGCTAGACACGCAGCGCTCCTAGTCGCGCACGTGGAACCGCCACCCGTTTCCGGACCCTAGGAACGCGCCTCAGCCACAAAACAGCGGCGGTTCTCTCTCCGGCTGGATCCAACTAAGCAACTGAACACTCGAGAACTGCGCGATGCCAAAGCCGGAAAATCACTGCTCCAAAATGAACCCGAACACAAACCGACCACAAACCGACCACAACCGACCACCGCACCCGACCACAAACCGACCACAACCGAACACGGCCATTTTTTGAAAATGCGCTTCGCAGTGCCTGAGCGATTGCTTGACTTTTTTGTACGGGCGCTGCCAGCATTTTAGCGAACTTTCCTGTTTTCACCTTCGGTGGCTAGAGCCCAGCAATGGCGGTTGACAGCCAAGTGCCGCAGCCTGAGCTTCACACTTGCTCACACCTGCCTAAATGCTCGCAATAGGTCAAACAGCACCCTACTGGCGGGCATGCAGCATCTTTCTAAAGACTATGAGACGCAGGCCTACTGTGTTTGAGCTTGCGCTGTGCACATGCGGGACAGCTCTTGTTTCATGCGAAGGCGTTCGCAAACGTCAAGAAGGAACTGTTCGCTTGCGAGGCCGTATTTTTGCCACGCGCGTAGAAGCGAGATTGCACGTGGTCAATTTTTTCATGTGTTGCGCAAACTTGTTTCGCAGCGAAATTTCGCGCTCGAGTGTCAGGCTCAGCTTCACCAGCAACAAGGTCGGTTGCTAGTAGCTAGTGCGCTTCTTTCTCAATTGTACTCGCCAGGCAGGCCGGAGGAGCTGCCAGAAACACGGGTCGACACGCCGCAGGGCTGAGTGCTTGCTAGCGCAGGCATGCCCGCAGCAGTTGCAAGAACCGCAATTCAGCAAACAAGCGAGCTTAGTAGCTCTTTCCAGTCAGTTCGGCTTATCTCCATTTTCCACAGTCTCGTGCACAGGAAACTCTTGAAGAGGCTCTTTCGAAGGAGCTCGAACAGCAGCGCAAGCGCAAGGCAGAGTCGGAGTTCGTGCCAGACGTGTGGCTTCCGCCACGAAAGAGATCCTTACTCAAACCCCTGGCGCCAGCAGCTGCGAAGACCAGATGCCAGCCCCCGTCACCTGCCGCTAGCGAAGACGAGGAGGAGCGCGAGCTTGACAGGCAGCTCCAGGCTATGGCGGAGGCTGAACAGCAGGCTCGCAAAAAGCTGCTGCGCAAGCAGCAGAAGGCCGAAGCCCTGAAAAGCTGCCCAGGAGCGTGTCGCTACGTTGCAGCGCCAGCTTGAGAAGAAGGAGCCTGCCACGCCGAAGGTGGAGCCGGCGGGCGTGGTGGACGTGGAAGATATATAGCGCCAGCGCCTGCTGCGCCAGCCAAGCTGGCCTCTGCGTCAGTTGCGTCCGTCTCCGAAAGTCGCGCCATCCTAGCCGCCGTCTGCAGAAGTCGCGCCAGCCCAGCACCAGCAAGAGACGCCAACCCAACCGCCCGCTGCGCAAGGCACGCCAGCCCAGCCCAAGGTGCCCGCCGCCTCTCTCTTTAGAGGGGGTTTCCCAAATGGCTTATATTCTACCTGAGAGGCTCCTAGCACTCGTCCGTCCAGCATTTGACCTCGTCCTACGAAGGATTCGAAGTCTAAAACGCTGCGTGGAGGCGTGAGGCTGCAAAATAGTGACCCCTAGATATGCTTGCAATTTGGCTCCAGGTTGCATTTCAAGCAAGCCAACCTTTGCAGGGCCAAGAAAAAACAAAAAAAAAAGAAAACAAGGGGTCCCAAAAAAAGGGGTCCCCAAAAAAAAGGGAAAAGGGGTTTTCTTTGGCAAAGCTTGACATCGCTTGAAATGCAACCTGGAGCCAAATTGCAGCGCATATCTAGGGGTCACTCTCTCTCTGTAGAGGGGGTTTTCCAAATGGCGTATATTCTACCTGAGAGGCTTCTGACACTCGTCCGTCCAGCATTTGACCTCGTCCTGCGAAGGATTCGAAGTCTAAAACGCTGCGTGCAGGCGTGTGGCTGCAAAATAGAGACCCCTAGATATGCTTGCAATTTGGCTCCAGGTTGCATTTCAAGGAGCCAACCTTTGCAGGGCTAAGGAAAAACAAAAAAAAAGAAAACAAGGGGTCCAAAAAAAAGGGGTCCCCGAAAAAAAGGGAAAAGGGGTTTCCTTTGGCAAAGCTTGACATCGCTTGAAATGCAACCTGGAGCCAAATTGCAGCGCATATCTGGGGTCTCTATTTTGCAGCCACACGCCTGCACGCAGCGTTTTAGACTTCGAATCCTTCGCAGGACGAGGTC